CTAAAATGAGCATAGACTATTTGTGTCATTTTTAATTGGCTTAAGAAGCCAACAGCTTCACCCGCCATGCTCTGGAGTAAACAAAAAAAAAAAAAAAAAAAAAAAAAAGGGAAAAGGAATTAATTCTGCTTGGAAGTAGGGAAGGTTTCACAAAGGAGGTCACAGTAAGCTTGTTGGAGGTAAGGACTTTGTCCAATGTCACTACTGCATCCCTAGTACCTAGAATGGTGCCTGGTGCATAGTAGACACTCAATAAACATTTGTAATATATGAATGAATGAATGAATGAATTTGAATATGAACTTGAATAACTTTTAAGGATTCTTAGGACTTTGCGGGGGAGAAAATTTGGAGGTGAGCATCCCAGGCAGTAAAGCATGGTTAAGGATTCAGAAAGGTAGAGGTACATACTGTCCTCAGATCCCCTCTTCAGGGCTGACCCACCCATCCTCCAGAATGTGGCTGAGGCTCACAGCTCTGTCCCTCATTGGGCACTGCCTTCAGCCACAAGGAACTGCCTCTCCCAAGGATACCCCCTTCCAGATGGCAGCCATACCAATGACTGGCTGACGTGGTGTTGCAGAGGCCTGGATCCCTTGCCTCCATTCAGGGTGTCCCTAAAGGGCCATCCAAGCTCCACAGCTCCCCTCAGGACCAACTGAGGCTTCAGATCTACATGGCATCAGCCACATGGCAGGACAGCCTCTCCCCTGCCCAATCCCGCCTTGCTTACATCCTACAAGTATATCCCAAGAGGGCTCCTTGATAAACCTCGTATATGCCGTGCTCTGTTTCAGAGTCTGTTTGCAGTGGACCTGACCTAAGTTTGTGTGTTTAGGGAATGAGAAGAGACCTGGGGGTATCAAATGGAGACTCTGAGGACAAAGTAAAATGTAGCCAGGCGGGTAGGCAGGAACCAGATTATGAAGGAACTTGAATGCCAATGAAAGTAATTTAGATTTTCTTCTATGAGTAATGGAGAACTATTGATCCATGGGGTATCTAATTAGAGCGGGGACTTACTAAGTTCACTGGCAGTCAGTATGAAAGATGGGATAGAAGGGGATAAGGCTGGAGTCAGGGAATAAGCTAGGAGACTGAAACCTGGAGCACCAAGCCTGAGGAGAGAAAGGATGGGGGAAGGGATGAAGCATGGTCCAGAGACATCAGCAGTAGTGCTCACCGGCCTCCTCTTACGACATGTACATGTACCAGCGTCTCCCTTCTTTCAGACTTCCAGATCCCATGAGGCATACAACATTTTACTGCCTGTAGTGTCCCTTTAATAATATCTCCTGCAAGTGTAGGCATCACAAATAATCCAGTGCTACGATATTCCTTATTTGGGGCCCTTTTTCCAGAATCTTCCATTTGTATCTCTCATGTAATAGGATTTTGGCAGATCCATGGATTATGGTAGCTAGTCTAGTCTTGTCTCTTGTGAACCTCATTTGGGAGGAGTCATGCATTTGCCTAGAATCTAATCACCTTTACAACAGCTGATGCTACCGTTATTGATGGTGTGATTTGTATGCAACAGCCTGAAAAATAAAGTTCTAGGGTACGAGGGTCAGACAGTTCTGTGTTTGTATCTTGGCTCTGCACTGATTCTGAATAAACATCAGTTATACCAGGGGAACATTATTTAAAACACAAAAGCCCTGATACTGCCCAGAGATTAAAAAAGGAGAAAATACCAAAGTAAGGAGAACAAATGAGGAAGGGTACAGAGAAGATGGAGAGGAGAGAGGGAGGGGATGGGGCAAGGAGACAGACACAGAAAGACAGAGAATGCAAGTGAAGAGAAAGATACTGTATGAGTGGAAATACTCCCCATACCTCGCATAGCTTCAATTTATATACACAACGTTGGAATAATAGGAATTTTGCAGAGTTGCAGAGTTGTTATGGGGAGGTCTGGACTCTGCAGGAACATGTATAATGCAAGTTAAGAGTTGTGTAGTGGGAAGAACTTTCTCTTTGGACTCAGATGGAGCTTGGCACGGACTTTAGTTCTGCCACAGTACAGGCTTGGTGACCTTCAACCAAACACTTCACCTTCCTTTTTTTTTTTTTTTTTTTTTAAATGAAGCATAGTTGATTTACAATATTGTGTTAGTTTCGGGTGTACAACAAAGTCATTCAATTATATACATTTTTTTTTTTCAGATTCTTGTCCATTGTAGGTTATTACAAGTTGTTGAATATAGTTTCCTGTGCCCTACAGTAAATCCTTGTTGTTAATCTATTTTATATATAGTGGTGTGTATCTGTTAATCCCATTCTGCTAATTTATCCCTCCCTCCCATTCCCCTTTGGTGCCCGTAAGTTTGTTTTCCATGTCTGTGAGTCTGTTTCTGTGTTGTGAATAAGTTCATTTGTATTTTTTTTAGATTCCACATGTAAGTGACATCATATACTATTTATCTTTCTCTGTCTGACTTGCTTCACTTAGTATGACAATCTCTAGGTCCATCCGTGTTGCTGCAAATGGCACTATTTCATTCCTTTTTTATGGCTGAGTAATATTCCATTGTATACACGTACCACTTCTTTACCCATTCCTCTGTTGATGGACACTTAGGTTGCTTCCATGTCTTGGCTTTGTTAATGACACTTCACCTTTCTGAGCCACAGTTCACTTATTGGTAAAATGGAAATCTCATGCCTACTTTGCAAAATTATGAGGATTAATGAAATAAAGGGTACCAAGTTCCAAATGTATTCTTCTTTATCAAAACTAGACAACCATCAGAAATTCCACAGCGGTCCAGTTGTTAGGACTCGGCACTTTCACTGCTGAGGCTGGGGTTCGGTCCCTGGTCAAGGAACTAACATCCCAAAAGCCGTGAGGTGCAGCCAAAAAAAATACAAGAACAAAAAACTAGACAACCATCATGTCATATGATGATATACCTATTGAATTTGTTTCTTTTTGTTTTTCTTTACTTCTTATTTTTTAAATATGTATTTCATTTTCTTCACTGTAAGTATAATAAATGATGATCTCAAAAGTAATAAATGCACATTAAAATTATTTTTAACCCAATGCTACAGATGTCTCTGAAATTTAACCATCTCCTTTCTCTCCAAGGGAAGAAGCCATGCTGTCCACATACTTTGAAACCATCAATGACCTGCTGTCCTCCTTTGGGCCCGTCCGTGACTGCTCTCGGAACAATGGGGGCTGTACTCGAAACTTCAAGTGTGTGTCTGACCGCCAGGTGGACTCCTCAGGATGTGTGGTAAGTGCCATTGGCCTATGAACGTGGTACTGGCCCAGGTGCCAAGGCTACATGCTGGAGGCCCCTCCCTGTGAGGGGCAGCTGGTCAGGGAAGATCATGCTACTCGTAGCACCTACCTCTGTGGCCTTCAACACACCAGGCTGCCTTGGTTTCCTCATCTGCAAAGCGGGATAATTAAACTTACCTCCTGGAAGTGTTGGAGGAATGAAATGAGATATTAGAGCCTTAGTACCCAATAGGTAGGTCCTTGAGAGCTCCTGGCCTCTGGTTCACCAACACCCCAGGCCCTGCCCCTGCCCTGCCCCACCGGTACAAGATCCACCAATCCACTGCAAGCTCTTAACTGGATTAAGGGTCTGAGGGTGTGGTCACTCTCAATCCCCAGGTAGAACAATGAACACGTTTGAAGGAATTCTGTTTACAAATCTCCAGAAACACCTCTGGATAAGATCATATATAAAGGTGCTCAGAATGGAAATGAGTTGGGGCCTTAGCCCTCCCCAGTGTATTCACACTGGGGTTTAGCCTTCCAGGAAGCTTACAGTCCATTTGAGAGTGAGGTAGGGCCTGCCTTATTTCTGTGCATTCAGTAGGGAACATGTCACCTGTGCAGAAGAGAAGTTTCAGCTGAGACCTAAGGTTTGTAGAAGGCTTCCTGGAGAAGTTGGTGTCTTAACTGTCTTCAAAAGAGGGGTCAACGTACATTAGGAAAAGAGTGGGGATGGCCAAGGCAAAGCCATGGAGGCGGGGTGGTGGCCTTGTTTGCATGGAGCTTTAATATCAAATGTGGGATAAGGACACAGAAGATATGTGAGGATCATTGTTGCTTATAGAAGAGGGTCCTTAACTGGATGATTTGTTTTATAGGAATGACCAAGGGTGCTTGTTTAAAATGCACATTCCAGGTTCCACACTAGAAATTTTGATTCTGTAGACGGGTTTCTGTCTCAGGAATCTGAATTTGTAACAATGTAATGAGTGTGTATATGTGTGAGGCATGGGAGTGTGTTGGAAGCACACTTGGGAAACATTGTCCTACAAGCTGAACACCTTAGCCGGGTATTCAGTGCCTTCTTGATCGGGCCCCTTTCCAGCCTCGCCATCACTTTACTTCCTTCTCCACTAGAGCCAAACGGAGCTAATTAGTAGTTGTTCCTGAATATACTTGCCACCAATGTGGGAAGCAGAGTGACTTTCCAAGGTCTCACCACAAGGTGGCAGGATGGAGGCCCAAGAACATGTCTCCGATACTCTCTCAGTGTTAGAGCCACTTTGGGCTGCTTTCCTGAGGAGCTGAGAAGAGACAGCAGCAAAGAACCTTGGAAAGAAGGCTGGTCTGAGTGAAGTGGGCTTACGCCCTGACTTGGTCACTGGCGAGCTTTAAAATCTGTGTTGACCTCATTAGCCTCAGTTTCTCAATCTTTCAAAGAGAGCAATAGCTCTTGAACTCACAGGTTTTCTGAAAAACCAAAGAATGTAACTGGAAATTATTTGAGATTTACCCAGTGCCATTTGTGTGTGATATGATGAAAGCCACAGCTACTGATGTATTTATGTAGGGGATATGATATGATTATTTGGGGGCCACAAAAATTCAAGAGCACCGTGTATTTCATTTCCTCTCGTGCTTCTACAACTGAATTTTATTTATTTTCTGCTCCACCCGTTGGCAGCGGAAACGTCATTCTAGTCAGTTTAGGTGTGCTGCCTCCTACCACTTCCTGAATGTCTGAGTTCAAGGGGACTGGGGTACTTGTAAGGCATGGGAGTGAGGGGACGCTTGATGCTGGACCATTACCTCTCGACTCTAGTACCTGCTGTGCTGCCTCATCTGGCCCTTGCCCATCACTCTCCTTCCTTCTTGGCATAAGCCAGGACCTCCCTGTTCCACCTGATTTATAGGTGCATCTGTATCCCGGCATCTGCTGCCGGTTCTCTTCATCCCCACCACTCGTCATTTGAGGCCACCTGGTTTTAACCATTAGATGGCTTACCCACCCTATGGAGGAAATGAGGAATGCCCAGCAGCTCTGCTGCACAACCCTCCGGACCTGAGGGTCTGAGGGGAGATGGCCGAAGCCCTCTTGATCCAGACAGACCGTGAAGGCATTTGTAGATGGCAGCTTTCATGTCAGGGCAGAGCACTCGACCACATTTACCATCCACTGGACACTATCTGGCAGGTGAGACACAG